CAACGAGGCAGTGAAAACCAAAATAATGATAAAGATAAAGATCTATTTATTTGTACAAGGTAAAGTGAAATTGTAACGTCTCAACATGTTTTCCATAATAATTATAAAATGTATAATATAACATAACATAACATCACGCCTTTTATCTCCGAAGGGGTAGGTAGAGGTGCACATTATACCACTGTACAATGTAACATCCACTTTTCACTATTTATGTTATGAGTCCCAGGTAATAGGGGGAGGCCTTTTGCCATATACTTGTAATTTGGCAGTTGCACTTGCGACTACTCAGCTAACGAGGCAGTTTTTATAAAATTTATAAAAACTATTAAATAGACAACTAAAGTTAATATAGGTATATGAAATTGAATAGAAAGAGGTTTGCCATAATTCTTACACCTGGCAAGACAATCGGAGATCGCATTTAAAAAGGTTTAGGTTTATCAAAAAGCACTACTGTTTAGTCTCTATAAAATCCTAGACAGGTGTGGGGCAACATGTTTATTTTAAGGAATACTTGTAGTCCCATATTTGTCGATTAATAACCATTTGACAATTCAACTGAACTTTCAGTGACCAACAGCCGAATTTTCATAGAATCTCATTACACCCGCGGGACAAGTAGAGCTGGTAACTATATTCTACTCGTCTAAATAATTAATCATATGTCAACAACCATATCCCTAAGTAAACATATCATTCGCATTTCACTTCTAACTAATTCCAAATTTAATTATACAAACACACTTTCAATAATTAAACTCGGTATTACATTATAAGTCCCCCGTAACAGGGGCTAGTCTACTACACCATCGAACAAGGACGAATTCCACAATAAAGTTTGTAATTTGTCTTAAACAAAGACTTGGAGGAACAAAGGCATACTTGATAGGCAGGGGCGTATGGTGTTGTACCTCTATAGACTTGCAAACAATAGTGAATCCTTTTGTGTGACGTAGATACCTTACTTATTATAAATGTAAGTGTTTATAGTATACTTTCTATGTGTTTTGTTGTTTATTATATATGTATATCCGTGTAATAGTGGGTGAGATTATTGCTAAATATTAGAAATTGTTAAGGTACCCTTAGCCGACGACTATGCATGAATAGACTGATGACTGTTGATGAAGCGAAAGAGCATTGTCTCTGCCTACCCCATGAAAGACAGGCGTGAGGCATGAAAGACAGGTATGTATGTAAGTATGTATAAATTATTTCAGGTTTTATCACAATTGTTTGTTTAGACATTTTTTTTAATTGTTTGGACTATCGCGCTTGATCTATCTAGTTTAAATGTGTTATCTTTTTTAACTATCCTTACTAATATTTTAAATCTGAAAGTGTGTTTGTTTGTTTGTTTGTTCCGCTTTCACGCCGTAACTACTAAGCCGATTGCTTTCAATTTTTGCAGACGTAAAGTTAGAAGTCCGGATTAAATAATAGGGTACTTTTTATCCCGGAAAGATTTGATATTCCCGAGGGAAAAAAGTATTGGTATAGATGGCGCTGTGTGTATATAGTATATGTCAAATTGGCTACTTTTTATCCTTTTGTGACGCGAGCGAAGCCGCTGGTAAAAGCTAGTGTAGTGATAATTAAGTTCTAGTAACACTTTATCCAGCTACTGTGTGCGCATTAATAAATTAAAAATGATAACAATAAATAATTATTCTCATTCATTTTGAACCATTAAAGAAAATCAGCTGAACATTACTAACAAATCGATTGATCGACAAGACACGACATGTTCTCAACCAATTAAGTTATCCAATTACAACTTTACAAGCAGAAATACAAAGATACAAGAGTTCTTAACATGGCGGGAAAGCCGCCATTAAAATTTCAGCGCACATACACACACGCTGGCGCTCATGTAAACAGGCTGTCACGAAGTACCTACTAATAGCGGCAAGACAAACTACCCCTAACCGACTACACTCTTCAATAAACTTACGACTTTATACCACAAACAATAAAGTTGAAAATTCATTCGATAGTATGTTGTAGCTTGATATGCTTTATTGCCAAAAAGTATACACACCATCACATCAAGTTATATTGTAGTGTTCAATGCATTTTCAGCTTTGTGTCTTTTGGGATATAGTTGAAAACGTATTAATATGGTGTGTGTACTTGATGTGCCGTACATTCGAGCCATGCATTTCAAAGTATCGAATGCCTGTCCAAAAGACACCATCACATCAAGATACCCTCAACTGTTCAATGCATTTTCAGCTTTACGTCTTTGGGCATGTAGTTGGAAATGTATTAATGTGTTGTATGAGGTTGATGTGCCATGCATTACAAAATATCGACACATTATCGTCACGCTAGTCTGTGGTATCGGAAGGTTTGAATCAATAACCTCCCTTAACGCCCTCCCGACCACAAACCACAGTGAGGGATGTGTCAATATGTCCTCTGTGGAAATTACAGTTTTACCACCTATATTTTGGTGAATTTTCTACAAGTGACTTATAAGTTAACTGTATTTATTTCGGTTAGTAGATTTTTCAAATGATACGGAATAAGAAAAGTCTATCGATAGGCGTTTCAGAAAGTGAAGTCAAATAACATCACGCCTTTTATCCCCGAAGGGGTAGGCAGGGGTGGACATTATACAACTGTACAATGTAACACCCACTTTTCACTATTTGTGTTATGAGTCCCATGTAATAGGGGGTGAGCCTATTGCCATATACCGGGCACATTTCCAGACTCTGTGCTACTACTGAGAATTTTTAAAAACCCAGTAATACTTTGCCCGACCCGGGAATCGAACCCGAGACCCCTTGCCCGGCAGTCGCACTCGCGACCACTCGGCCAACGAGGCAGTCTGAATGAAAGGCAGAGAATGAAAAATAAACAACATTAATCCTACCTAACAAACTACCTACATAAATTAAACTTTTCGAAATAAAACACACTTGAATTGAGACGTCGAAAAACAAATTACACATAATTTAAATGAGACAAATCTCTCTTAAATGAGATTTTTGACGCAAGTATCATGTCGGCTCCCCGGCGAGCCCAGCCAGATTGAATATTCATTTAATATTTCACATTGAGCAAACAAACTCATGCTTCGACACGAAAATAAACCTATCCAATAAAATACGTTTTTCAATAAATTACGAACATTTCGCGTACTTTATTAAAACGTTGTTTAGAAAAAATGGCACTTATAGGCTTTGGGAATGGTGATTGATCGGTTTTAACAAGATTATGAACGCGCTTACGAATCAATACGTTGCAAATTCAATTGAAATGAAGGTTCTGTTTACTTTGCTGGTAATGAAATATAAATAAAATAAATACTTTGTGGGTTTAGCTGGCACTAAATAGTTTTTACTAATCCCGAGTTCGACTGAGGACACGTCCGTAGTTTTTGCTACAACTAAAGTAGGTACATAACGTACCTACTAAACGTATCTATAATTTAATTTTTGTTAAGATTCCCCTACCTGATACAAACCCATTTTGTAGCCCAAAAAATATACTTCTCGGCTTGCATCAAGTTAATGTAAATCTACTAAAAAGATCCTTATTATTATAGAAAGAACTGATAAAAATGTTTCTTCAAGTAATGTAGGAATCTATTTTACAATAAGCTACTCATAATACTTTCTACTATTGGCACAAAAAAGACCAAGTCATTATTTAATAGACTTTTTCCTCCAACCTCCCTTAGGAACTATCTGACATGACTTGCAGGATAGCCCTCTGAAGTACCAAGGTATGTCGATATCGACTTACAAAGGTCACCGACCGTCACAGCGTAGCCTTACTGCGACTTACTGCTACATCGATTTGTCCTCGTGCTGAACTCTTATATACCTTATTTGTGTGAGATATAAAGTCGTATTCTATAAAAAAATCTTTGAAAATATTAATATTTTAAAGTATTACATGTTTTTGCAAAATTAAAAGAATATTTCAAGCGTGTGTAATAATAAAGTGATACCTATGGCATCGTAAGTCGTTGCCCTTGTGTATTTAACGTGATCAGACTATCAAAAAATTACTATACTACTTTATTTATTGGGCAGCACCAACAGTATTTTTAATAACTATGGCGGATGGGACTGATGGACTTATGTTACAACACTGGACGAAGACGCAAGTGTTGCCTACAAACAGTGAAAGTCGTTTGTATTGTTATATTATTTATGATAAATTATTTGTAATTTATATGTTGATGTTTATGTCTCTACTAACCAAATGGATTGTATTATCTGAATAACAAAATTGATTGATTGATTAATTTACAAATTTCATTTAAGTTAACCTAATATTCCTGCCTTACCTATGTAAGTAAAATCTAATACCTATCTCACATGCTCATAATTGACTAATCTAGTTTGATACTGGCTACCATGATTGATATTAGTTACGGCACAGCAACATGTAATTAATTTTCGATGACCTAACTGCGTTTCCCAAATCCTAAATGAGGTTTATAGATCACTGGAGGCATTAACCTATTGGCTGTCAGCATACGAGATACAACAGAAAATACAATGTCTTGCATAGATCTACGTTCATTGAAATTAGTTAATCACTTACCGCAACTTGAAGTGCAGGTCTCCAAGACGTCCATCATTGCTCTCAGGTTCAGTAGTCTTGGTCTTCTCGGTAGCATTAGCATCGGCGAGCTCCTTGCTGAGCGGGGCCGGCTCGGTGGGCGCCAGCGGTGACTGCGGGCTGTTGCCACCGGTAGGCTAGACAAGCACAGAATTTAAATAAATTAATATTGACGATGTAAAGGGATCTAAAAGCTCCAATTGGGTATGAAACTAGTCGTAATATAATTATTGTCTAATTTACTTTTTTCACAAAAGACAGTTGTAACCCTCTGATGGCTTGTCTAGGTGGTCTACAGGAGAGACATATTATATCATAGTCTATTTTGATAGTACACTAAATTTTTTATACTTCTGTCATATCTTACCGTGGTAGCAGGATTCACAGCTGGTGTCTGCGGCGTGGGTTGCGGTGGCGACGAGGCAGGTGGCGCGGGTGCAGTCGGTGACGGGGACTTGCGCAGGTAGTGGGTGGCTGAGCCTGGGGAGCGGACAGCAGTCGCTCGGCGCGGGGGCTGGAACACCAGCGCCTTGTCCGGACCACGCTTGCCTCCTGGACAAAAGACTATTATTATAGCATTTAAAACCGACATCATTTCTAATTTTAACGTATGCTTTGGAGTCTCGATTAAGGCAGCTCTATCTATCATCGTTTTTTTTTATTTTTTATTTCTCAGTATATGGTATACACAGATCTTAACAATACAGCGTTCTATACGTTATATAAATCTATATATAAATCTATCGTTAAATGATGATAATTTGAAACAGTATACTATACTTTCTGTATTTTGTCAACATTATTATTAATGTCCAACAATTCATCGTAATCAACAACTAGGTACTTACCAAGTTTGTGAGCAAGCGAGTTCCTCCGGCGGGCGATCCAGCAGGCGAGGGCGGCCAGCGCAGCCGCCACCAGCACCGCGACGCCACACACCACCAGCCATAGCGTAGCACCGTGCAGCTCGCCAGCTAAACACAAACAAATAAACTTTAGCTGGAGATCAGAAGTGGAATACTTCTTTAAAGTTAAGTAATTGGAAAATCATCTTTTTTATTTTGAGAAACATTGCCTCATAATAGAATTTTCTCCTGGGTCGTGGGTGCGTTTACAAACATACAAGTTCACATACACATGACACAGACCCAAAACAACAATTTGTGAATCACACAAAGAGATGATTCGTGCGGGAATCGAAGCCTCTATACGTTTCGCGACAGCCGATTACCCAGCCAACCGTGCAGTCCTGAATTTTTGTGAATCCTTTCAGATTAATCAATGAGTCAACTAATTTACGATCAACATTATTTGGATGTTTTATGAGATGATGAGAATTTCCCTAAAGTTCTGATGTGTCATTAGCTAGTCACTACAAAGGAAGTGTGTGGAACGAGATGAGTATGAGTCAATGTTGTCTCATTACTATTACAGCTTCATTCGTCCTACCCTTCACACATGCATAACGGTAAATTGATATTGTATTAAGTGCCCAATAGGTACTGGTCGAATGTAAGATCAAATTCAAGTTTGCATTATAATAAAAGAAAATAGTGATGATGACAGGGTATGAAAATTCTTGTGAGAAGAGGCTTTGCTCAGGAGTGGGCATTTATAGGCTGCTGATGTAATATAATGTAAACATACATACATACATAACTTCACGCCTGTCTCCCATGGGGGTAGGCAGAGACTATGGAACGCTAATTACTACGATTCCTACATACCTCTTTCGCTTCATCAACAGGCATCAATCTTTTCATGCATGCTCGTCGGTTAAGGTTAATATCAAACACCCTTTTACATTTATAATATTAGTAAGGAACTGTAGAAACCTTACTATACATGGTACCTAGTAGTAGTAGTAGTACGTTATACGGGTACAGATTATTATAGATACTCGTATATATTAAAGCTCCCCTCACCTCATAACCGATAAAGGTATTACTAGCCATTGAGCAGCTATTGCATAGATGCCCGATCTCATTTCATACGAAAGGGCTATCAAATCACTTTGATACCCCATTATCATATGAATGGGAACGTTTATAAGTGTTGTAACAATAACTGAATGGTTATACTAGGCTGAATGAACCATTTATTGTTAATATTGTAATAGGGTAGATGAGTAATTTTTATTTGAAATCCGATTTGTATATTTTTTGTTTACATAAACAAATTTTACGGAAACAAATACCTACTTTCGACGTTATATTGATTTCAAATATTGCGTGACGTCACTTTTGTGTAAGTTGCTTGTTGTTAGCTTGCTCCTTTTAAAAAAAAACTCCTAAACTCCTAAAATGAGTTCCAGAATAATTAGTGTGGACGCTGCCGTGGTAGCTTATGAGAAGGGAAGAACGGCAGACCTTATAGGATGTGTCAGGGCTTCAGAACATCATGAAGTCATCGTGTACGAGAACAGGGGTGAGGACTTGAGTTTCCTCAAAAAGCCAGTTCGATACGCGCTCGCGGAGAACCTAACGGGTAACCGGGGCTCCGGCTCGACGTGCAGGAGAAGGAACGGGGTGGTTTTTAGTCAGTCTAAGTAAGCAAGAGTCTGACACTCCCTCCCTCCTCACCCAGGCGGGAGCAGTCATTCGATGATTTTCCCCCCTTAACAAAAAAAAAAACTCCTAAACTTTGTTTCCATTTATCTAAGTCTTGTGTTCGTATCCGACAAAATAAAAAAATACGTATCTAATGTTTTAAAATAATCTACCAAACGGACATCAATGTATATATATATAAAAATGAAACCCGTTTCTCGTTGTCACGCCATAACTTGAGAACGGCTAGACCGATTTGGCTGATCTTTTTTTGTTGTGTTTGTTATTGTCAGGAGAAGGTTCTTACGACAGAAAAAATCCTGAAAATCCTACGGGAATGGGAGAAAACGGGGTTGCGCGTACGTAGTCGCGGGCAGAAGCTAGTTAAAATATGATTTAGGATACTAGTATATTAGCAAAAAAGGTATGCCTTCTTCCTTATGATTTCTCAATTACAAGCAGTAAAGGTAATGTAATGAATAGGTTATCAAGTTACTGAACATTTGTTTTACTATTCATACATTTCTGTGCACAAACAAATGACTCACGTTTTAAACTAGGAGCCATGGAATGGAGATTGAAAAAGTTTGGAGTACTACATAATATTGCAGGGGCTGTTACTTATAGTTAAATCTGTATACAGTTACTTTAATATATGTATAGAACTGTTATTATGTGATGAATGACGAGGTAGAAAGATATAAAGTAGTAGCTCTGTGTTCTTGTAGGTGTATTTTAATGGTTTTCTTAATCTATTAGTTATTTTTATCAGTGGTATGTTTTGTATTGAAACATGTTTTTATGTAATACCGATTCTTTATATTATGAGATAAGGCGATAAACGATTTGACGGATCACCTGATGGTAAGCAATCGGCGTTTCCCATGGACTTCTGGAACGCCAGAGGCGTTACAAGTGCGTTACCGGCCTTTTGCGGATTAGGATTTTTTGGGAATTCAGGGATTGGGGAGACTGAGCAAGGGGTAATTGGGCTTTCAGTAACCTCAATCACACGACGAGACACAACGAAGAGTTTTTTCACGTCGGTTTTCTGTGACACCGTGGTATCACTCCGGTCGAGCCGGCCCATTCGTGCCGAAGCATGGCTCTCTCAAACTTGAATAAACAGTACAATAAAAACACTTTTCATTTACGTAAAAAGTCTACGACCAGACCAGTGCCTTTAGCCAAACGCCACAATAGCGCTTGTCTACAGAGAGAGTAGAAAACTAAATGTATGAGGATGACACTGACAAGTGTCAAAATTTACGTCAATTCCATATAATTTGGTTTTCTATTCTACATACAAGCGCTAACTGGCATTTTGGCTACAGCTGCAGGCTACCGCAAAAGGCAGGCTAACATTAATCAAATATCTCCAGTTACTTTTAACTCACATATCTAACCTAGCCTCAAAAGACACCACAGAAAGGAACGAGATGACGTAAATAAATTACATCAGATCTCTATGTAGAGTCCGCAGTTGTTCGAGAGAAAATATATAGTTTGGTAGAGATAAGCCAAGCGACGTCGGCGTCCTACTTCGAAAGTAGTGTACATTTTTTATATGGACTCTATATAGACACTAGGTCTATATAGAGGGTAGTAAAATGCTCTCGTTCGTAGCTCTACGTCAATTTAGGTTAAATAAACAAAGAGAGGGTTTAAAATGGCTAGACTCTGCTCTAGCAAAGGTAGAGTTCTGAATAGCTGTTTGCTTTGACTGTGTTTTATAACTGTTCTGAGATTTCTTGCTGTTTGATTTTTGGATTGTAGTATTGTAGAGTGTAGGCTGTCTGATAGCCAAAAACAGGGTTGAAATTAGTTGGCAGAAGTTCAAATCCTTAATTAATGTTATATAGAGAACTTTAAGATATGAAAACTTTGCTTTTAATTAGCTTAGTTGATTTTGATTTCATTGAACACATTGTTATGAATCTTATGTCAAAAATATCCTGGTGACCCGGAGGTTTATTACGCCGTTTCTCATGCGTGAGGGCGCGTGTTTAAAACTATCAAAAGGCAAGTATCAATGTGACTTTTTCCGAGTTATATGTACTTTCTTATAAGATTATTAAGACACCACTGATCAACGGTGAAGGAAAATATCGTTAGGAAACCTGGGCTTATAATCTCTAATCACAAGTTTGTAATCGCCAACCTGCATTAAGCAAGCGTGGTGTAGTGATAAATGCTCAAACCATCTCCGTGTGAGAACAGGCTTTGCTCAGCAGTGAGAATTTATAGGCTGTTGATATGATGTCAAAAGTGTGTTGTAATGTAAGCAAAATTGAATAGATTATTGAAAACAGCCGCTAGTCCTTACTAATATTATAAATCGGAAAGTGAGTTTGTTTGTTTGTTCCACTTTCACGCCGTAACTGAACCGATTGCTTTGAATTTTTGCAGACGTGAAGTTAGAAGTCTGGATTAAATAAAAGGGTACTTTTTATCCCAGAAAAATTTTATATTCTTGAGGAAAAACGAAATTATTGGTATAGATGGCGCTGTGTGTATTGGTATATGTCACATAGGCTACTTTTTATCCTTTTGTGACGCGAGCGAAGCCGCGGGTAAAAGCCAGTAAATTATAAAACAAATTCTACTAAAACGTTCACCTATTTTTATTTCTGGACCTAGCGTCTGTCCACTTGAGCCGAGCACAATCGATAGCTTGAGTCTATAAGAGGATCTAGGTCATATTCCACTGCCTAGAATCTAGTCTAGATATAAATATTGAGAAATGCATCTGACGATCGATGTGTAGAGCTATTAGATAGAATATTTTAAAATGTAATACTTATTTTACTGTCTAACTTTATTTATAAATTGATAAATAAAATTTTGAATCTTATACTCTTATACTATTATATAAAGCGGAAGAGTTTGTTTTTTTTGTTTGTTTGTTTGTTTGTTTGTTTGTTTGAACACGCTAATCTTCGTAACTACAAGTCTGATTTGAATAATTTTTTTGTGTTGGATAGCGCATTTATCGAGGATGGCTAAAGGCTATAAAACATTACGCTACGACCAATAGGAGCCGAGCAGAGCGTGTGAAACCGCGCGAAAGTAGCTAGTGTTAAATATGGCGCGGTATGAATGCAGGGTTCCTACGTTTTATGTAAGTATCACTAAGAGGAAATCCTATATTCTATTATTGACAGTACTATATGTAAAATATACTTATATTAACACCAGAAATCAACTTTCAAACAAAATCATTGATAGACTTTTATATCTCACATTGAAAACACTCTAAATGATCTTAGAGTAACATCGCATTGGACACAAACATAAAAAAATGGCCAGACATCATAGAGAAATCCATATAAATCAAAATCTCCACGTCCAGTATGAAAATATACCCAATTTACATTTAAATTGCAAACAGACCGTGACATTGAGTTAATTCAAACATCAACTTG